TCATTTATGAATGGCATTGAAAGAAAAGACCAACACATTTCTGCACTTGTTTAATCTATCTGGCAACTTCTGAGGGCGTCACGCCATGGTCAGTGTTGTGGTCATTTACAGGGTATAATTAGCCTTATGCTTAAGCGTGTCCTGCTGGTCATGTGCTCTTATCTGACACTCATTACCATGACCTGGACCCAGCACTCAGCTGACCACTGTCTGAAGCACTGATCATGTTTTTTACTGCATCTCAATGTCATGTTATATATATATATTATGTATGTATATACACTACCGGTCAAAGGTACAAGTCACCGACCCTGGATCCAGCAAAACAGCCCCAGACCATCGCACCTCCTCCTCCATGTTTGACAGTTGACGGTAGTGATGGTAGTGGTCAAGTTGGTGTCAAAATATTGTTGGCAATGTTATTGTTGATGTGCAATAATTTGTAGGTCCTGCAAAATGTGTTATGGTCACAGGCCTGGCTACAGTCAGTCTGAGGGTTAGCTATACAATCAAACCCAAACAGCAGGTTTGTCATATTATGTGCATATTTTTGTCATATCTGTGTCATACCTGTGTTTGTTTCAGGTGCCGTGTTTGTGCAGCGGTGCAACATGTCTGCTGTGCAGCTGCTGTCCGAACAGCAGGAACTCCACCGTAACCAGAATCATCTATGCCTCTCTTCTGCTGCTGTGGACCATAGTGGCCTGCATCATGCTGTCACCTGGTGTGGATGACCATTTGAAAAAGGTAAGAGGTGGGGGGGGTTTCCTGTAGAGCGGTCAGCCACTCAACTATAGTCACAGGTTACTCCAATCTCTGCAAATCACAGCTGTTCTATTCAACATTGGTAGATCCCCGGATTCTGTGTAGATGATCCGTCCGCTCCGGGCCCACACGCCGACCTTAGATGCGACATGTTTGTTGGCTACAAGGCTGTGTACCGTGTCTGCTTTGGCATGAGCATGTGGTTCTTGGGATTTTGTCTTCTCACCTTCAACATCAAGAGCAGCAGAGATCCCCGTGCAGCCATTTACAATGGGTGAGAACGGACGCTCTGTTACAATACACACGGTACATTTGACTTGTACTGAAACTCACGTAGTACATTTGACTTGTACTGAAACCAACAGGCTGACTTTATGTGTGCGGTGGGAAAACACTCGAAACCAACAGGCTGACTTTATGTGTGCTAGCCATTGATGGGAGATGCTGCCCTTTATCTTTTCTCCGGGTTCCTGTAAGGCTTTGAAAATTGCATGCACATACTCCCCGTTTCTGAGTTACTGCTAGGCCAGATAATCTGACAGGTGGCAATGGTTTGGAGGTCATCTTGCCCCCCCCCCACTCATATTCTTGTACGCACACACAAATGTATCCAGCGCACTATTATGTAACTGTCGTGCAGACAAGTGCCTGAGAGCTTCATTAAAGCTTAAATGACAACTTTTTCATTTAACTCTCAATAAAACTTTTTAAAACGAACAACGTACACGAATAAAAAGTTTTCTGGCCTAACGGAAACTCAGGAAACAGGGAGTGTGCGCATGCAATTGTTAAGGTCTTACAGGAACCGGAGAAAAGATAATGGGTCGCACACATAAGGTCAGGCTGGTTGTTTCAGTGTTTTTTCCACTGACTACATGAGTTTCAGTACACAATATAATTTTGTCATAACACACGATTCTCCTCCTGTTTTCTATCATATTTTTTTATTCTGTATATTTCCAGGATGGGACAGTTTTATTTTAGTTGGATTTTATTTATATCCTTTATTTATGTTAAAACTGCAACATCTATTGGGGGAAATGTATTAATTTATTTCAAGATACACTACCGGTCAAAAGTTTTAGAACACCCAAATTTTTCCAGTCATTTATTGCAATTCAAGCCCAATGAATAGCTTGAAATGGTACATAGGTAAGTACTGAACAGCCAGAGGTTTGGTAAAAAAAAAAAGGTTTGGTTACCCAAAACTGAAAAATAATGTACATTTCAGAATTATACAAGAAGGCCATTTTCAGGGAACACAAAGTGGGTTAACAATTTAAAGCTGAATCAGCCTTGAAAGCTGGTGCTACTAATTCCTACAGGTGTCCCAACTTTTCTGGATTACTTACAACCCCCTCTGTCTGCATAAAGGCAGTGTTGGAACACACTGTGGTACCAGACCCTCATGAGCATCAGGTGAACGGTATTGTACTGCAGAAAGTAGTGTGTTGCTACAAAAATGGCAAAAAAAGGGGCAATTATTTCCTACAGGGAAACTGCAAAGAAAGTCAAGGTATCAGTGAGTACAGGTTCCTTCACCATCAAAAGGAGGTCACAAACTGGGGCAAAACTCTGACAGGAAGAGGTCTGGCTGACCCAAAGCCACAACTGAACCAGAGGACAAGTTTCTGAGAGTCAACAGTGTGCGTGACAGGCGGCTCTCACAGGACCAACAGCTTCAAGCGCAGCTTAATAGTGGTCGTAGTAAGCAAGTCTCTGTTTCAACTGTGAAGAGAAAACTTCGAGCTGCGGGTTTGACTGGACGAGTTGCAGCAAGAAAACCATCGCTAAGACGTCAGAATAAGACAAAGAGGCTCGCCGGGGCCAAGAACCACCACCGCCATTGGACTACTGAAGACTGGAAGAAGGTATTAGGGACAGATGAATCCAAATTTGAAATCTTCGGTTCATCACGGCGTAGAGTAGGTGAAAGGATGCTTCCACAGTGTGTGGCTTCAATTGTCAATGTCTGGATCCAGGGTCGGTGACTCTTGTTCAGAGTGAGAGGGCCCCCTGAACCAAAATGGCTACCACAGCATCCTGCAGCGCCATGCAATACCCTGTGGTATGCGTCTAGTTGGTCAGGGGTTCATCTTACAGCAAGATAATGACCCCAAAACATAAGTCCAAGCTATGCCAGCACTATCTTGCGAAAAAAAGAACAAGCTGGTAAACTTGAAAACACGGAGTGGCCAGCACAGTCTCCTTAATCTTAAACCCCTATTGAGCTGGTTTTGGGATGAAATGGACAGAAGAGTGAAAGCAAAGCAAACCACCAAGTGCCACACATTTATGGGAACTTCTGCAACAGACATGGGAAGAACTTTCTGAAGAATATTTGATCTCTATTGTAGAGAGAATGCCTGGTGTGTGTTCAGCTGTATATATATATGTATATATGTATATATATATATATATAGCTGTTATATCTGCCAAAGGTGGCTACTTTGATGAGTCAACAGTTTAGAATACATTTTGGTCTATAACTTGATTCCACCATTTCTTTTTTGACTCCAATTGCTTATTTGTACTATGCTTTCACGTCTGAGTGCAATGAGACATTAAACGGCATCATTTTCAGTAAAAACACTGGAAGAATTGGGGTGTTCTAAAACTTTTGACCGGTAGTGTATATACACAAAGAGGATGACCTGTGTGACAGTTGATTTGACTTGATCTGTACTCATGCCAGGTTTGCTCTCCAGGAGTGTCTTTACTGGTTTTGGTTTTTAATATATTTAAATGTTTAAAACATTCTAGCTAAGTGCTTTCTGGAAGCTAGATTCATAATGAGACTGACGTGGTCACGAAGTTTCTGCTTTAATCTAGCAATTTAGTACAACAGTTGAAATTATTTTTTTTCCAATATCCCATTTCTGATATTGTTCAAACACTTAATTTCCGATTCTGATATTAACCAATACCGATATTGCCGAGCAGTGGCGGTTAAGGAGGCTGACTTGTGATAGATATTACATAATTAGTTTTAATCCAACTGACTTCTTCAAGTCCTTTACCAGATAGTAAACACTCTCAGACGTGCTAGCATGATGCTAGGCTACAGAATGTCGCATTGACAGTTTCAAACAAGAGCTGAGAATTTTTCAAATGTCCTTTTGTTGAGTGGTCATGTGAGTGTTTTGTTGATAAAAAGGTTAGCTTTAAGACTTTAGAGCTGACAACTCCGTTTGTTTCCAGATTTTGGTTCTTCAAGTTCGCCGCCCTGGTGGCGATTACAGTCGGGGCCTTTTACATTCCAGATGGACCGTTCACCTACAGTAAGACAAGTTTGTTTCACACAGGTTGTGACAATCGAATGTGCTGATCACAGACTGACCTTTGACCCTTCTTTTTACAGCATGGTTCATCATAGGAGCAATTGGAGCGTTCCTCTTCATCCTGATCCAGTTGGTGCTGCTGGTGGACTTTGCTCACTCCTTAAATGAGACCTGGGTGGACAAAATGGAGAGTGAGAACTCCAGAGGCTGGTATGCAGGTAGGTGGAGCTGCAGCAGCTCACTTACAGTGAGCTCCCAAAGTGAATGTTTGAAAGTAATTGTGTTTGTGTTTTATTCAGCCCTGCTGGTGGTGACGGTTCTGCTCTACGTCCTGTCCTTCACTGCTGTCGTTCTCTTCTTCGTCTTCTACACCAAGCCTGATGGATGCTCCATCAACAAGTTCTTCATTGGTTCCAACATGCTCTTCTCCATCATAGCCTCTGTGATCTCTGTGCTGCCCAAAGTTCAGGTGCGCTTTGACTACTGTCAAGGTTTAAGCTTCTCTGAAGGTTCTCTTTGTTGGACGCCTGTGTGTGTTTGTTTGTCTGCAGGAGTCTCAGCCACGGTCCGGTCTCCTCCAGTCTTCCGTCATCACCCTCTACACCATGTTTCTGACCTGGTCTGCCATGACCAATGAGCCTGGTGAGTCAGTCTGTTGTTGTTGGTTTGAAGTCACATGAACAGTCAAGTTCTGGAGAGCAGAACCGATGTTGTAACGTCATACGTGATGTACAGCAGCACAGTTCTGGAGATTGTTCTTCTCAGTGTGAGCATGAAGTATGTTGATGGCTGAAGTTGATTGATTTTTGCCACTAGATGTTGAGAACCATTCGAACAAAAGAGTTCATTTTATGTCCACATGCAAACGCTCGCTTTGTTTTTTTTATCGGGTGGGAAAGAAGTTGCATCCACATGCGTGTCTGATCGATAATTATTGACGGCCACATAGTGGTGAAACCATATATGTAATACATATGCCGCACCTACATGTGGCGCTGTACACAGACACAGACAGAGCCATCAGACGCTGTGAGAAGAAAAAGTACATGCACATAAAAATCAGTCGTCTTCTGCTACGCACCAATCAAACCAAAAAAAACAGACGATGTCCGCTATCGTTGGTCTTACCGTCTGCACCATGCTAGGTTCTTGTTGTCACGTGAGACAATGACGGGATAGAGCCATGGTGGCCTAGCGTTGTCAGATTCTCCCACTCTGGAACCTGTTAAAAATAAGTGACAAAGCGTTGTCAGAGTCTCCCACTCTGGAACCTGTTAAAAATACCAGTACCCAGAATGCTGCTGTCATGTGGATGTGTAAATAGAATTTATAGTTAGTTACCAAAGTGTGGTGAACCAAAGTGTGGTGAACCAGAAACTGTTATCTAGGTGTGTTAAATAATGGTCTGCTTGACAGGAGTAGGTACTCCTAAAAGGGTTTTTTTACGATGTAGGTCCATAAAGGATGAGGTCTGTTTCTCGTCAAGTACGGGAATCGGATGAACTTTGCCCTAAGAGTAGGAAGAAAAAACAACTGCCCAGTACTTGTGAAACTTTCTCAATAAAAGGAGCTGCAGTCCTCATACACTTTGGGAAGCTGTCGGTCTCTCTGCTCCCCCTCGCAGCGGATAAAAAGTACAACGTTGTCAGGTGTGGTTCTTTTCAGGTCATTCTATCTGCGGCAGTTAGATGACAATAGCGGTGACTGAATAACATTTAGTGACTGAATGTCATTTTCGGCACCAACAGGATGAAAGGCCATAACGATAAAATACTTAAGTTTCGCCTGATAACATTCCCTTGCGGACATGCCCTTAGTATCATTATTATCAGTATTATTATTATTGACTTGTTTGACTCATTGACCATGTCCTTCCTCACACTGACCTTCAGATGAGATGATTGTTCTGCGTCCACTGTCTCTTCTCCTCAGACCGAGAGTGTAACCCCAGCCTGCTGAGTATCTTCCAGCAGATCACGGTTCCAACCCTGGTTCCGCTGGTGGTAGAGAACCAGACGGCCGTGGTGATCATCGGCACGGAAGAGCCCGTCCTCACCTCACCACACCTGCAGTGGTGGGACCCCCAGAGCATCGTGGGCCTGGTCATATTTGTCCTGTGCATCCTCTACTCCAGGTAGGACAACGGCTTCAGTAGCTCCTGCCCCTACAGGGTCTTGGTGCAGAGAAGTAAACACCGACTGTCTTTGACCACAGCATCCGCTCGTCCAACACCAGTCAGGTGAACAAACTGACCATGGCGTCCAAAGACACAGTGATCCTGGCTGAGAGCGGCGGCAGCAGCAGCGACATGATCCCTGAGACTAAAGGAGCCAGACGCGTGGAGGACAACGAGCAGGACATGGTGCAGTACAGTTACTCCTTCTTCCACTTCATGTTGTTCCTGGCCTCGCTGTACATCATGATGACACTCACCAACTGGTACAGGTCAGTACTGCAGCTTGGTCTCTCAGTACTCTGTCTACTGTCAATCATGAGATAAATCTTCAATCTGTGTTTCCTCTCAGCCCGGACACTGACTACACTGTCAGCAGCAAGTGGCCTGCGGTGTGGGCGAAGATCTCCTCCAGCTGGGTGTGTTTGGCTCTTTACATCTGGACCCTGGTGGCCCCCGTGATCCTCACCAACCGAGACTTCAGCTAAATGACCCCGCCATCCAAACAGACACCCCAGTTTTAGTTCACCATCTGTAGAAGTGCCATAAAAGACCTCTCGTGACACTGTATACGGTTCTCACACAGATCAGAGACACTGGTGTGTTTGTGAATAGACACCGAGAAAAATTTCAAATTGCAAATATTCTTCCAAACAGGAGTTTGTTGACTGAGGTATTTTTATGATTCTCAAATTTACGATTGTACTTGAACGCCCCTCGATGCATATTTTTTACAACGGTATACAAGTTATTTCACAACTGTTACTGTTCATTTTTACTGTGAAACGTCAACATGTGTAAGTACACATGTTGCACAGCGCCGGCTGACCGTAGAAGAGAGAGAAGTGTGTATTGTCATTTTAACGCAAAATGAACTGTATCGATATTGTCCCATGCTTTATAATGTTTAAAACTACAGGGGTTAGACAATGAAACTGAAACGCCTGGTGACCCAAGGTTTGGCTATATGATTAGCGAATGAGCTGGGAGCAGACTTTTCTAGGTCGCCTTCTACTGCCTTGTTCACAAATACATTTTTTATATATTTTTTTTAAATTCCAGTGTTACTGACAAATGTAAAAATATCTTTTATAAACGCGACTATTTTATTCATGTGTGTAAGAGAATACATTGAAAATGTTTTTTCTTAAGGTCCCTTGAAGCTGTTACAGGTGCCACTGTTATCTTTGTATTGATTGAACTTTTTTTTTTTTT